AAATTAAACAGTGTGGAATTTCGTGTGCGGCTACACACGCCGAAACATCACACATGTAAGCAAAACACCAGATAATCAAAAGATGATTTTCGCCCTCTTGATATGGTAATTTCCATTTTGGAGATTGAATGTGGACCATCAACATAAATTGATGCTACCTTCTTTATTTTCCTCCACAAGGTAAGACCATCAAAATCCAAGTATGAAGTTTCTGGTATCTCGCACATAGCTGAGTAAGTTATGCGTAAATACACCCTATTATGTCTTCACCATGAAAACCAAAGAAAGTGACAAGCAAACCCTGGACATCAGACTCTTACGTTTTCAACTCTCCAAGTAGTGCGAGTGGAAACTCTCGCTTTCATCTGTTGGTTAGTGCTCCTCACGGGCATCTGATGCATGTGGTCTTTTGAAGTGACTATCTGATGTGTTACCAGAGTCGGCTGCACCTCACAAAATTGAATAAATATAGAGCAATTGGTGTAGTTTTTTCTTTTCTTTTCTTTGTTTCCTACAAAACACGATTACAATACTATTTTCTTTTGAAAGATTGACCCGCAATTGCATGGCTTGCCTTAGAAATAAAAAGCAAAATTGGATTTAGCCTTATCCAATTATTTATGAGTTAGACCCTAATTGAATGAATCAAATAACATGGTATTGGTGCAATTGATTTCATCCTCATCCAAGAGTAGTGCAATGTTTTCCCCTGCAGTTGTCATTAAGTTGTACCTCTCCTTCAAAGGGTTAAAAACAAAGGAAGGAATAATAATAATTTATGATAACAAAACATGTGAAGATATACAAATTGCTACTAGAAAATATTTTCTTGAAACAGAGTACTGATGTTGATGGTAGTGGAAATGAATCGTGGCAGCGACAAACACTACTTGCTACTTATTGTATGCCTATATTAATGGTTTAATGGAGTCTTTTCTATATTGGCTGGGATTATAACAGATTACGCAATTAATTAACAAATATTAAACATCTATTTTACTCATTTTCTTTGAACTTATCGAAACAATTTCGTTTGTCCTCCCTCGGGGCCCAAACATTCTTGTTTTCATGCTGAAATTTATAAGTTATAACGCCAAATTAAGCCAGAGACGGAAAAAGAATTACCTAAAGAGAACATATGCTCTTGACAGTTCTCTGATTTACTATTAACATTCAAAAACGGGGTGTTGTTTTCCTATAACATATCTTCTTCAGGCTCAGACCAAAGATTATTGGCACCAGCGATGTGGGAAATGACGTTCAGACTTAATTTTAATTACAGAGTGCTAATATCAACGAGGACTCTGATTAATTAATTGGAAATAAAGAGAGAAATTTGACAAAATCTGGGTAACCAAAATTTTCAAGTGTTAATGATGCAAATGGCCAATTGGGTTCCAGTTTTGCATTCTAAAATTCTATTTGTTTACAATCACATTGTCCAATCCTGTGGGCTGATGGTAAGGTTGATTTGTCAGTCCCTTGGTTTAAAAACCTGCGACAGAGACTGTTATTTACTTTATAATGATACGTAACCTTAGGCTTTCATGATAAATTTTGGTCAAATGAATTTAGAATTTGTTTATATAAAATATTAGTTTTGAAAATTATTAAAAAAATTTAAATAAATTATTATTTTTTAATTTTCTTTAATCAAAATTTTAAAATTTTATTTTAAATTATATATATATATGTATAATTGATTGCTGTTAATCAAAATATTATTTATCATTTTGTGTCATATGATATTAACGTGATATGCTGACATATCATAATAAACGATGACATGATATGATAATATAATCAAGTGACATTTCAGTTTCTACATCATTATCACGTGACATAAAAAATGATAAATGATGATTTAATTAATAATTTTTAACTAACAATTAATTATAAAAATTTATTTAATTTAAAATAAAAATATAAAGAGTTGATTGAATATAATAGATGAATAAAAGTTTATTTGAAATTTTTTAAAAATTATTTATTTTTAAAATATCATAAAAAATCAAATTTAATTTTTTAAAACTACAAAAGTATATAATTTAACTCAATTTAGTTATTGAATAAATTATCCCACATGGCTCTACCTCTTCTGAGTTCAAAGAAATTGAAATTGGGCTTTTCCAATTTGGATTGGATCGGATCTCTTATTTGGTATTTTTTTTGGTCAAATGAATACTTCAAAAGAAATGAAAAAGAATGGAGATTCGTGTTTTTCTGGTAGGTGCAGAGCCCCAGAGGCCCCGATTGGCATGTTGGGGCCGAAGCTCTAGGACAAGAGATAAGCTAAAACATTAAAACGTGGTAAATCAACCCCCACAATATGGTGAATCATCAAGAAGCAGAAAGCCAAGAGCTTTTATCGATGTTCCAGAATGAGTAAACCCAAAAAATAATGCAGGTTGTAGTGTGGCTCTTCTTCATTGGTAACATACAGAAAGCATATATTAGAACGGTACCGTTTGGAGGGATCTCAAATGAGAAAAAGAGTGTACGAGTTGGAGATAGGGATCTCAACCCATAATAACTGTTAGAAGTTGTAAGCAAACACCATAACTAAACACCATAGTTTAGTTAACAGAGTGAAAAAGTGACTGGTCCTTTTGAATCCGGGAGGACAGTGATGCTTTAGCCATTTCCAGCAGGGCTGTTAAATAATTCCGAGACATTACCCTCCATCCATATTTCTCTAAAAGATCAAGTACAGACCCACTTTTTCTTCTCTTTCTAAAAGGCTGCTACAGATGAACCAGCAATCAGAGATGGAGCTTTGTCACTGGATACCATGATAGATAGATAGAGCCAGATGCAAAACTTTTCGGCCCCTTATCATGTAACTTCACCTCAACTACTGATGTAAACGCTTTTCTGCATATCTTCACCAACTTGGCACCCTAGGCTGTCCATCTTTCCAGCAGGAAAACGACCCATCAATGCCCATACCAAACATCATATATAGTTTTTATTTTCATATTCAATTTTGGGTTTGTTTAGTTTTCATAGGACAGAATAGATTGTGACAAAATATTAGAAATGTTTACAAAAAGGAAAGCGCGTGCAAAAGAACAAAACAAGTTGAAATGAACTGTGGGTCTTGTAAAGGAGCACGTGAACTCGTCTGGCCATGGTACCAATATGGCTTCCTGCCTTTGAAATCATCCGGTTGTTCTTCAGGACAAGTTCTGTTGTCAACTATTCCTTCTGTGCCCAAGCAAGCTGGGGTTTGTAGATAAGTAGAGATGTTCTTCCTGGATAGCTGGTAGCTTGTGCAGAGCCTACTATTGCCTCTAACATCCAACCTTTTCCCTAGTCTCTTAATGAACTCCTCTGAGAGTAGTAACTCCCCACTTAGCTTGTTGTGACTCAAGTTAAGCTGGTCTAGATTTGGAAGTGACCCTAAACTTGGAGGAATTGTCCCGGTGAGGCTGTTGTTGTCTAGAGAAAGGGCAGTCAGATTCTTCAATGAAGACAAGGAGTTGGGTATTGGGCCCATTAACCCACATGCGGAAAAGCTGATTGATGTAAGCCTCTTGAGGGACCCCACAAATAAAGGCATCAGTGCATTTATGGGGTTGTAATCCAATATTAAATTCTGTAGCTGCTCCAAACCTGAGAAAGTCTCAGGGATTGGCCCATGGATGAAATTATGGCTCAAGTCAAGCAAAACCAACCTGTTTAGCTGCCCAAATTCTGGAGGTATCCGTCCATGAAGCCTGTTTGAGCACAAATCAACTTTTTGAAGAAGCTGAAGCTGACCCAACGAATGTGGCACCGGCCCTTCAAGGCCATTCGAGCTTAAATCCAAAATAGTTAAGCTTTTCAGTCCTCCAATATCTTCAGGAATTTCACCACTGAGATTGTTGTAACTCAGGTCAAGTTGCTCTAAGTTGACTAAACCACCAAGTTCGAGAGGGATATTTCCTTGTAGATTGTTCTGGGACAAGCTCATGACCCTTAGCGTAGAAATTTTAGCTAAGCTTTGAGGAACCTCTCCAGAGAGGGATGGATTTGACTGAAGTGATAGATGCTCCAAGGAAGAAAGTGAACCAAATAAGGTAGGAGAAAGCGTAACTTGTGAAGTTACAAAACAATTGAAAATAGAGAGAGTTCTCAGGTAAGGTAGTTTGAGCAAGGAATCTGATATTTTAGCAGAAGGTTTGCAAGGAGGGGTAGCAACATCAGGGCCAATGTGAATAGTCGTAACATGAAAGATTGGAGGGTCTTGACCAATCTCACACTCAACACCAGGCCATGGAGTGTCGGTGCATGGCTCTGGGTGCACATCAGCCCAACCAGGTTCCTCTAGGAGTGAACCCATAACATCAAAAAGCCCCAATAGCTCCCCTTCCTCCATCACCATTCCAGTCTCATCCACGTTTCTCTGCACTGCAATCGCCCCACAAGCCACAACAAGGAACCCAATGCCAACAAGGAAAAGAGAAGGAGACGCCATGAGAGAAGAGCAAGAAACAAACAGAAGTACCAAAACCCACAAATATAAGCATTCAGAAATGCCAAATGTAGCTTTAGAACCAAGAGATCACAGTCTGCTTTCTCTTCTACAAGCACTTCTTGAAAAAAATATTGGCAGCAGAAAGAAGGAAAAGTAAAAGAATATCTACCAGTTTATTGCTTCACCCTTTGTGTCAGTGTCTGTAAGGCTGCTGTTGGGAAACCCTAAGTTGTCTGTGTCTGGCATTTGCATTCCAGAAATGGTAGTGTGAGATAAGGATAGTGCTGGTTTTTGCATATATAAAGGAGCAAATAAGAGAAGAAAGCCAGAGTTACTACAAGAGGAACAAATTGTCAGGAGGGTCAAAATAGATATTCAGGGAACACAAAAACTAAAAAAAAAATGGTTTTAGTTTTAATCCTGATTTGACATGGCTCTTCCTCAGTATCATCCCTGAAGCCGACATAACAAGCATTGCTTTTGCAGAGCTACAGTTGCCTCTCTCAGCTTATCTCTCTCTCCCTCCCCTGTGGCTCTGGCTCTGGTCTCTCTAACCTCTATGTGTTTAGGATTGGCTGCAAGCCACCCTACATGCTTTTCTTTTCTTGATAGAGATGGATGGATCATGGAACATCAAAATATACAAGAACAAAACCAACAAACAAATAATATCATTAAAGTACTTAATTTTTTTTGTTCATAATTTGAAAGTTGGAATCAATCTTAGATAAGTTTTTAATTATCCCGATTTCAGCAGAGGAGTTGCCTACAACATTGCAATGATAATACATTCAATGCCAGATTCCTTCGTTAGTAGAAATTTTGCCTTGGCAAATGAAGAAAACAAATGGTGTGGACTATGTAGGAACGGTTCCGGGTTTCGCCAACAGTGGGCTGCTAAACCCAACAAGGATCAGTCGGCCGAAAGGAATTTTTCAGAATGGGCCTTCACCCGATCGTTCATGTGTGGAAATGTAGGCTATACTAAGTTAAAGGATTTGCCATAAGAAATTTTTTATGGTCGGTCTTGAATCTCAAGTGTCTATCAAAAACATGCCGTTACACCTCCTCTCTCTAGAGATTGCAAAGAGTTTCTACATATTATTACTAGACCATGTTACATTAACAATTAAACAAGATTATTAGCTAAACATAGAGCTGGTAAAGCTGATCTGATTTCAAAAAACTCGTGTGATTTGAACTCAATCCAACTTAATTTTATCAAGAAAATTAACAATTTGCATTTAAAAGAACTGGAATTCAAAAATAATTTAAACATTAAGCAACTCAACTAATTGAAATGACTAACACAAAATGACTTGAATCCTAGTACTTTGTTTAAATTCAATTCGATTTAATTTCAAAATAATTAACAATTTAAACTCAAATAATTTGACTTTAATAATGTGAGTATCAAATTCAAATTCAAATTGCTCGAATCTAAAATGATTCAAAAAATTTTCGACTCAAAATGACCTAACTTGACTCACCATAGCCCACTTCTAGCTAAAATAGTTTAACTATTTATTCAACAAAAGAAAACAAAATTAAGCATTCGCAATGCACATCCACTTAAATACTTGTGTTAGATTCTTTTTAGAAAAAAATCTTAATTGGTGGAAAAAATAATTTTGAAGAATTGATGAAAATTGAAACTCAGTGACTTCTCACATATGATATATCCCTATGGAATATGGATAATGCAATCATGCATGACCCAAATACAAATCAACTTCCAATCCTTACATGTAAGTGAATAGGGATGACAACAGGCAGGGATTATACTTCTTGTCCCCTATTAATCCACCACGAGACAAATTCCACCCCCCCTCTTTCCTTGCAACTTGCAAATTGCAATTGACTACTTGAGAATTTTGTGCATGTTTCTTGTTAATGTACATGAAGAATAGTTAATTGCATACATTATCTCTTTTTTCTTCTGGACTCAAACGATACGTATAGAAACACACGTTCCTTCAGTTTATTTTTCATTATTTTCTTTTTAATTTTTGTTTACTTAACATTATTATATATATATATATATATATATGTATATGCACCTTCCAATAGATCATTTAAGAGCTAAAAACCAAAAAAGAACGTATTTACAATATTGGGCTAGGGTGAGGTGGGGATACTGGATTCGACCTGCTACATAAAAGAAATTAGAATCTTGTTTTGATTAACTATAACCTTATTGTGTAACAGTCAGATATGAAATTCAAGAAAAAGATGAGAGAGATTTGCATGATAAAATTAAACGTCACCATTACAAAGGCCAAAGCATCAGCTTCTAACGGGTCCATATATTCTAATTATGATCAAACTGCACCTTGGTTTCTAGCGAGGACAAGAAAACCCAAGTCGATAAGCGTACTATCATTCATGACCGTTCATTTTTCCATAACAAAATCGACAGCTTTAAGCCAATGTGAATATAAAGTTACTACAACTTCTCGTATTATTATTCACTCAGTCGGGTAAAAGCTTAGACACGATGAGCTCATCGAATATTTCTCTAGAACACTCTTGCCCCCATTAAAAAGCTTTAACTAGAGTCATGAAGCTCTAAAAAGCTGCACCATAAATCAAGCCTTCTCTTCCGTGATCAAAAAGCACAAAAGAAATAAAATAACTAAGCACACGAAACTGGTCTTTGTCTTGCTGTCTTTGGAGTGTTCCTTTGGTTACTACAAAACCCTATTGCATAAACGTGATTAATAATCTTAATGATCTTGTTCATGATCTGATCACGCAAGAAAGAGAGAGAATTAACCAATAATCAAGTGCCACGGGAGTCGGTAATCTTCCATCCCACAAGCCCTTGTTCCCCAAGCTTAGAATTTAAAAATAGCAAGTTAACAAAGGAGGCGTAACAATTTTCAAAGGACCAAAATAAAAAGTGAAGCTCAAGCATGGACTATATGGGGATAAGCACGATTACGAAATCATGAGATTGATAGGGTACTCCATTATTATAAGTACAAATATCCCATTATTATAAATCATTGAAAACTATACGGATTGATGGTGATAATTAAATTAAATTAACCCCATTTTTAATCTTATAAAAAAATTTGGTGTCGTGCACCTTGGATTAACATACACGTGGCAAGCATCCGAGCGGGTTGGGACCCAACACTTGGCGGCTACAAATTGGAGATCCACTCCATGAAGGATCCCGATCAGACCATGTGTAAGATTGCGGATTAAAAACAAAATTAAAAGGTGTGAAAGAAGGGTCCATGGCCACCATTATGTGCTCAAGATCAGGAAGGCCTCGGTGTTTTTTTCTTTTTTCTTTGGCAAACTTGTGGAGAAGTATTATGACTAGAAAATTTTGCTTACACCTGCAGACCCAGCTTTCTTTTTGTTATGAAGAAAAGGTTAAATGATGAAGCAATCAAACAATGGAAACTCCAAGTTACATTGCACTTGCATGAAGGTCGGCTTAATCATGGAGAAAAGATGGGCCTCTAGTGTTTGTGTTCAAGGTCATCCCAGCAGCCATTGATATGGTTCTGATCATCAGAACGAAAGGGTTTGCCATTGTGGGACCAAAAGTGGGAAAGTCACGCGTGGGAATCAGTATTGTGTACACAATCCTTCGTATGAGTATGACGGTTTTAGGTAATATTGTGGGTAATCAGAGTTTATTTTTTAATAATTTATTTATTTTTTTAGCTTTAGAGTGGACCAATTAAATTTGGGAAGTTTCTTAAGAGGCGGATCCATCATTGAGGAACCAAAAAAAAAAAAAGGCCACACAATTTGATTGAACTTTGGCTTGCCACCTTTCATTGTGATGTTGTTTTATGATGATAGGGCAAATATTATTTGACTTGTTTTGCAATTTGACTCAAATTGATAAAGACCAATGCTGCCAACCGGATTTCTTTTGGCTGCATATGGGAATTCGCTCATAATTGTTCCGGTGATGTGAAATATAAGCGCCCAAAACACGCATTCCTGGTCTTATTCATGGGGTCTTTTTTCCTCGTCTTATATATTTTTTACTTAACAGGAGCCTTCAAGCTCAAAATCATTGAGATTCATAATTTGAATCATAGAGTATTGAATTGGGAAAAAAAAATGATTTAAGTCAATGTATTATAAGTCGTTGGATCATATTGATCTCTTATGAATTAATCTGTTTTTTAATTTTTTAAATATGCAAATTTTGATGGGTTTAATTAATATTAGAAAAACAATCGTTTGAAATGATTACTTTACATCCAGAAAGATTATTCTTATTCAAGTTTTAACATATAATAATCTTATTTTTAAATAAATTAATTATTTTTACTCATTTGTGTGCTTGTCTTATCTTTTTATGCATGATGAATAGGCTCAGACCATGGAAAGATACTTTTCAACTATTTAACAATTGCATATATAATTGATGTATGGAAAAAAAGTAGTAATTGACTGATTAAAAACTGTTCTTGTAGATTTTAAGATCTTTTCAATATCATTGAGACATGGTTTTATTGATTCCTCTTTATTTTAAAATAAATTATAAAATAGTTTTTGATACGTTGATAGTGTCTTGTGACTTATATTACTATGATGTGTTAGTAATTTTTTTTTTCATGGAATATTTTTTTCTTATTTTTTAATGGGTGATATTGTTGTAATTCTCCTTTCAATGAATAAAATCTTTCCTAGGCTGAGCCAAAAAAAAAAGGGGTTTTTGGCAATAGTTATCGTATAATTGGTCGATAGGGCATGCTAAGTAAATACATTGAAATTGTAGGAGATATCTGTGATTGTGGTCGTTCAATTATTTGCTAACTTGAACCCTATAAAAGCCCTCTTAGCTTGGACCTTCACCCACTACAATTTCAAATCCGAAGGTCCTTTAAGTCCTCATATAGGCCGATACCACCCACTCGCTTTCTCCCCTTCGTTTTCCACGCTCTTCCTTCTAGCTAGAGATGACTATACCATCAGCAAATCTAATGGAGAATCCAGTGAAAGCCCACAAATCTAAAAACTATCAAAAGGCAAAGGGCATGTCCTTCTTTGCATTTCTTTTCTCCATTGTCATTTATATCTCCATCTTCTACATCTCCAACCTTTCCCCTTCAGCTCTTTTCAACAATACCAAGTTTTGGTTTGTTATTTCCAACACTCTCATCCTCATCATTGCGGCCGATTATGGTGCTTACTCTTCCTCCAAAGAGAAACATGACCTTTATGAGGAATATGCGTCGCATAGCCAAGCAAGGAGTGCTGCTGCTCCTTCATTTGTTTCACAATACCCCGAAATTGTGAAGAAGGGCACTCCGAAGGAAGAAGAGACCAGTGTCAAAGAGAAGAAAGAAGATATTGTAGCTCAAAAGAATGAAACCTCTGAAAGAATATTGGAAGTTGTCAAAATTGAACCTGAAATTCCTACTGACAATTTCCAAGCAAAGAGCTACCAAGAGCATGAACATCCCATGAAAGCTGATAACGAAGCTTGTGATCAAGTTCAGGTCGACGAGAAGATTGAACCAAAAACTATCCGACGAAGCAAGTCTGATAAAGTGAAACGT